TTGGGGATTTTTGGAGGAAGTTCTCACCAGGATGTATTTTGGGGAGAAGTGGAGAAGTTGGATGTTTGCATGTGTTTCTTCAATTTCGTTTTCAATGCTTGTAGCTGGAGTTTAAACACAATTTTTTAATGCAACAAAAGGAATTAGGCAAGGAGATCCATTGTCTCCTATGCTCTTTGTTTTGGTGGTGGAGTTGTTAAACTTGCTAATTAATAAGGGGTGGTCGAGGTTTAATTACAGGTGTCAAAGTGGGAGGTGAAAGATTAGGCATTACTAATTTCAATATGCAGAGGACACTTTGATATTTGTGGAAGCCTCAATAGAACAACTGCCGAATTTGATAGCTATTTTAAAATGTTTTACGGTGTTGTCAGTGTTGAAAAATCAACTTGAACAAAAATGTGTACAGGATATTGCTCATTCATTTTTTTATCAGTAAAAAAGATTTTATTAATATCAATTTCAAGTATTACAAATAGGTGGGATTTACTTCTTAAAGACAAACTTTATACTTTATAATTCTGCCCAAAACATTTGATGCCTTGCTTCCCTTGTTAGGTAATGTATCCTCCATCCCATTTGCTGAAAAGTATGTCTATAGACCCATGGGAGTCCACTTCCACTTCCAAGTTGTGAAAACCAAATTGCCTAGCAAATTTTAACCCATGGAGTAATCCACAGAGCTCTGCTGTCAATGCATTAATGGCCCTGAATACAGTGCTAAGACCTTTCCTTCTGTGTCTCTGAACACCCCTCCTAGTCCAGCTGCAACCTGACTACCAATATAACTCCCACCAAAATTGAATTTAACAAAGTTGGTTGTTGGGGGTCTCCATTCCATGTTTACCCTTTCCTTGGCTTGAGCCGATAAGACCACTTCCTTCCAAGTTCTCAAAATGTGCCACTTTAATTTTCACCAAATCAAAGATTTCCATTTCTGTTATACTCTTTTCACTAAAAATCCTCCCATTCGTTGCTTGAGGACTGTGAAGTATCATTGGGTTGTCTTGTAGGGGAAGTTCCATTTACTTATTAGGGTCTCCCAATTGGGGCTAAAGCATCTTCAGCATCCACATGGCAGCCAAAAGTGTTGGATAGAGTTGAGCAGAAACTAGCAGGTTGGAAAGAAAAGTGCCTACCTTTTGGAGGCAAAATTACACTAATTTGTCCAACTTACCTACTTATTATTTTTTTTTTTTTGGAAAAGGTAAGGTAATTTTATTCAGAACAAGAAACCATACAGTACAGACAGAGATCAGGCCAAGGAAAAACAGCCTGAGAACAACACAAATTACAAGCTCCAACAGGACTGAGACCGAAATAAAAGAGGCAAGTTCAGATGCCTGAACTCCTCAGTAACAGACACCCAAGAGATCAGCTTGCCCACTGCTCTCTGTACAAGGTCTTCAGGACTTTTAACTCTATTACAGAAGATTCTGTTGATTCTTTCAGTCCAAATGGACCACAAAACTGCTGCAGGAATGGTCCTCCACACTAATTTTCCTCTTACTTAGGCCTTTTACTTTCCAGCAACACGGTAGCTCTTTGACCGACCTAGGCATAACCCAGCTATGTCCATGGATTTCAGAAAGTGCTCCCACACCTAAGAGGAGACCGAACAGTGAAGACACAAATGATCTGTAGATTCTGGGAGAGAACCACAAAGACCACAAGATAGATCCAATATTTGAATGCCACGCCTCTCAAGATTAGATCTGGAAAGGCATTTGTCAAGGACCATTGTCCACACCAGAAAGTTGGATCTAGATGGACTTGTAGGATTCCAGATCTGAGTAGCAGGGAAGTCTGGGGGATCCGAGCTGCATAATTTGGAAGCTAGAGATTTGACAAGAAAACAGCCATCAGGGTTCCATTTCCAGCACCAATTATCTTCCAAGCCAAGGTCTAGCTTCTGCTTCTGAGGGAGATCCATCAGCTCCAAGACCTCTTCCAGCTCCCGGTCAAATAAATTCCTCCTAAAAAGGGGGGTCCAAATAAAAGAATCTCCTGAAGAACAATAAACCTCAGCCACTGAGGAATCTTCATTAAAGCACACTTAAATAGGAGAGGAAAGGAATCAGCCAATGGGTCATCCAAACACCAAGGATCCTTCCAAAATTTAGTTCTATCCCCTTTCCCAATCTTGACTGAAATTCCTTCCAAGAAAGTAGAAAAATTCTTCATGATACCTTTCCAAAGGGAGTTACCCCAACTTGGAGGAGGATCCCTAGATCTCCAGTTACCCCACTCCACCCCATATTTTTCAGCTATAAGAGATCTCCACCAAGCATTCCTTTCAGAAGAAAACCTCCAAATCCATTTACTTAGAAGGGCTGAATTAAAACTCTTTAATTTCCTTATTCCTAAACCACCTTCTTCCTTGAGACAACACACTTGTCCCACTTGACTAAGTAGATTTTGTTTTCCTCTTCCCAACCCCTCCAAAGAAAGTTTCTCTGAAGCTGCTAAAATCTTTTTGCTGCTTTGTTTGGGATAGGGAAAAGAGACAGGAAATAAGTGGGCAGATTGGAGAGGGTACTTTTTATCAAAGTAACCCTGCCCCCAAAAGAGAGGTATCTTGCCTTCCAAGAAGCTAATTTTCTCTCCATTCTTTCAATGACTGAGTCCCACACGGAGGAAGAAGACCAATTTGCCCCCAAGGCCAGTCCCAAATATTTCACAAGGAGGAAATCAATCTGACAAGCCAGCACCTCAGCACAATCTTCAAAATTGTCAACTTGCCCCACTGGAATGATTTGACTTTTATTCAAATTAACTTTGAGCCCAGAAACTACCTCAAACCAGGTTAAGATCCCAAGGACTAAGTCCAACCGAGAAGGGGAGGCATCCACAAAGCATAATGTATCATCTGCAAACTGAAGGATATTGACCTTTTCCCCCTCAAGGGATATTGCAAAGCCTTCCCAACAACCAGAGTCAGCTGCCTTCTTGCAAAAGAGGACAAGTATGTCCATAACACAAGTAAACTAGCAATGGGGAGAGGGGATCCCCCTGTCTCAAGCCCCTTGAGCTGTCAAAAAACCCTGCTAACTGACCATTAATCAAAGCTGAGAATTTAGGGGAAGTTATACATACTTTGATCCAATTCCTCCATTTCAAGCCAAAATTCATATGCTGCAGTACAGCATCAATGCATCTCCAATTGACATGGTCATAGGCCTTTTCAATATCTAATTTACAAATCAAACCAGGGACTCTCTCTCTTCTTCTTGAATGAATCAGTTCATTGGCAATAAGTACAGAGTCAAGCATCTGCCTCCCCGGGACAAAAGCACTTTGATTGTTTGAAATTACATTTCCTAACACCCCTTTCATTCTCTCGGCTAGAACTTTAGCTAAAATCTTATAAAAGATGTGCAAAAGACTGATTGGTCTGAAATCTTTGACATTAACAGCCCCTTCTATTTTTGGAATGAGAGTGACAAAGGTAGTGTTTAAGCTTCTTTGCAGAGAAGCATTTGCATGAAACGCCTAGAAGGCATTCATCAGGTCTTGTTTCACTATATCCCAGCATTTTACATAAAAAAGGTTGGTGAGACCATCTGGCCCTGGGGATTTGTCATCCGCTAACTTGGAAATGGCAGCCTTGATTTCCTCCTCCATAAAGGGTCTCTCAAGCTTCTCAAAGTGCAAACTTTGGTTGCAAAAGAAATTGAGAGATTGCAAAGGGAATTTCCTTGGAACATCAGAGTGGAGGAAAAAAAGATGCACATGGTAAAGTGGGATTGGATATATAGGACCAAGGAGAAGGGAGGATTGGGCATAAGAAGAATAAGGTTGCTTTTTTTTGTTAGAAAGGTTGCTTAATAAAGCTTTATCGGGTAAGTGGAGTTGGAGATTACGGGTGAAGAAGGAGGTTTTATAGAGAAGTGTGGTTGCTTTAAATTTGAGGTGGTTAATTTTGGATGGGATTCAAGGGAAGTTTCAACATCATATAGGGCGGGGTGTAGAAGGAGATTATGGAGTTCCATTCTGTGATGGCTCTGCATTTCTTGGAAGGTTGGTGCAGGAACTAGTAAAAACTCATGGGTGATTACTCATCACCCCACTACCTGTATTCTTCTCTTTATTTGAATGAAAGTTTCTTTTTTATTTATTACCAAAGAAAAAAAAAACACCACACAACTTAATTGTTTTGATTACTAACAAGAAGAATGGATCTAGTTAACATGTATTTGATTTTGTCAATGTACACTATGTAATCTTTCTATTATGCCGACTACCTGATACTTAATAATTTCTTTCATGGATACTCAGTACACTTGCTGTTTCAATTGATGTCAATTATTGTTAGCATTTTACAGTTTTGGTTGATCTTAATGTATTTTCAGGTTCTAGGAGTTTAATGTGACATTTTTATTTTAAATAAAATAAAAATCAAGATAGACATCTATGTTTGGTTTTATTGTATTTATTAGTAGCTTATCCAATGAAAAATCTTAATCTATGCGTTTCTTTTACTAACTCTGCCACTATCTCAAACCGCACATCTCATATTCATATATTTTATCAAGGTTTTGCCCTTCTTCCTCCCCCTTATCTCAATTGTCCCCTTATTTGGATATCACGGTCATCGAGTTTTCCTAAGACTAGCCATTGCCCAATGTTGGTCCCAGATATCTGGGGTCTTGAGAAGGGTGGATTGGACATGCACCTAACTTTTGGCATTTTTTTATCTTACACGCTATAGCTTAATATGTTCTATACTTGTAGCCCCTTTAAGCGAAATAAGAAATTGAAATGGTTATGTTATTTAAATTATCAAAACAATCTACAACTAAAAGAATCCTGGTTTATAATAACCTATTAAGCTTCCATTTCAATTTCCCTCGACAGAATTAAACATAGGCACTCTCCAAATCACCAAGTGAGCATTCACAACTGAAAAACTTCAATTTAATCCAAGACAAAAACAATAACCATCTCCCAAGGAAACTTTCCATTTCAATCATTTTTATTGCTATTGTTTTCGCGTTTACCTCACGGCGAGATAGCTCAGCTTTCCAAGCAGCCTCCCTCTCTGCAACCTCTCTTTCCCTCTCTTCTATATAGCTCTGCATCTCCCTCTCCTTCATGATCCTGTCTTGGATGTCTGCATCGAGGGCTTCTTTCAGTTCCTGCACGAACTTATCTACCACAGCTTTAATTCTCAGCGACATATCTAATGACGACCAGAAATAGATATCTCAATATTCCGAAACACTGGAATCACATAGGTCTGCCGCTTCTCGGCATCTCTTGCTCAATTGCTTCACTTATCGCCTGATATCTGCATCAGGATGTTCCGGCACCGAACATACAATCCGGCCGGGACTAGGAACCAATGTAAGCGTCCATTACCTTGGTACCTCGACACGTGGCATAGATGCGAAGACAAAAGACATTTTGAAGCTGGATGCGTCTCTGAACTGCGAATGAGGGTCCCACCAGATGGGACGACACTTGTATAATATATTTATTATAGGGTCAGATCAGGTCAAACCGTCAAGGTGCTTTTACTTTTAGATTCCAATCTAACGTGAAGGAAACGTTATTCCTTTCCATCCATGAACCTCCTTAAACCAGCATGGCTTCAAATTCAAATCACAATCCACTTTTATTCTGCCTACACTAGCGGGGGAAGTAATAAAATGCAATTCCAACTTGGAAGTACTTATGAAGGAAAAAAAAGCTTTGAAGCACTTGACTTATTAACAAAAGTAGGCTTTGGATAAATTTAAGGGGTTTTTATAGTTCAGTCCACCACTAGAGGGGGCTGCAATTCAGATTTATAAGGTGGATTGCAGTTCACTTATTCCTAATTTTTAGATTGAAAGAATAAAATTTAATTAATTTGTGATTTATGATTTTTGTCTAAATTTATTTGGGAAAAGTACGAACAGACCCATTGTAGAATTCTGATTATCACTACAGATATACAGAATTTCAAAAGGTCAATTACCCCCATCCTATGCATCAATGCCCGCCCGTGAATTAGCATCAATTCCAAATTGGCACCTACCCCAACTGTACTTTGTGCCTATAAATTACCTTAGGCTGAACCGTCACTCTCTCATTTACTTTTGGTATCAAATAAAATGATGGTCAGGTGTGAGTGTTAGTGATGGCAATTTCTATTTTACCCAGTGGACACCTGTAGTGGCGATTCATTTTAGTCAGTGAGACATTATCATAACAATAATTTAATTATAATATTTGAATAAATAAAATAAAAGATGAAATTAAAACATTTTCACTCTAAACATTTTATGACAAATAGATACATCTCATACTTGCCCTATCAGTTTTCATGTTTTGGAAGTGTTGCATGATTAATTCATTATCAATGTTATTAAATACATCTCTTGAAGAGATGAGAGACCCATCATATGGATGGCTGAACCCTACAGGAAAGTTGTGCAAAATTTCAAAAATTTCTTTGTTCTCATCCAGGAATCATATTCCCAATTTAGAAAACTGCACTTTCAATGTTTGTTCTTATAACCAAACTAGACCAAATCTGAAACCAAGATTAGGGAGGGATATACCTGATACGGAATCCATGCAAAAAACTCCTCCCAACGTAGGATGAGACAGGATCAGTAGGTAGTCCTTCACCAAGAACTTGCGATTCTTCAGCAAGAATCGAATGGCGTAGTGAGCACAACTTTAGAATTGTTTCTCATAGCAAGGAAACAATATCAACATCCAATCTTTATCAATTCCAAAAAATGGAGATCGAACAAGGCAGAGCGGCAAAAGCAGGGAGAAAAAAAACTAAAGGCAAAAATCAGTCAAATTGAGTTGTCTTCTGTGTTGTGTGTGTGTCCTTTTTTAGATCCGCCCTGCTCTCTATTTATAGCCTTAAAGAGGTGACCTTCAAATCTGATTAGGAGTTTCTTGATCCAAATCATTATTTGGATCTAAATTCTTTAAGTGATAAAGATAATCCCTTATCTTATCTGCAATTCAAAATCAGTTTATTCCTAATCAAATTAAGAGGTCCCTTATCCAAATCTTTATTTGGATCTGGACTCTTTAAGTGGATAAGAGTTATCATCTTATCCTTATCTACTGATCCAAACCCAGATCTGCCCCTATTTAATTAACCTAGTTCGAAATGGGTTTTAGGCCCATTAAGCTTTCAGGCTCACTTCCCTTTAATGCTGGCTAGCTTAGGCCTCTTTGTATGGTATGCCTAACATTGATCTACACATCAGCCACATTGGTTTAGCCAAACCTCTGTTACAAGGCCTGGTCGAATTCACTGTTAAATACAGTGAACCCCTGAGTTCATCACTATGGGCTCTTAATGGGTCCAACATTTATATTAAATGGTCCTTGGGTCCAACCATCTTATGAAGGCCCAAGGACTGTGGGCAGATGCAAGATTAGCCCATCAGGTATAACCCTCAATAGTCTTATACTTAACATCTCAGCCCTTAATGATCAAACACTGCCCGACAAGAGATGACCTCTCCCTCGGCTGCAAGGTATACTGTTGCACTCTCTACTCACATTGATCCTACGATTTAAAACCTTTTGCAAACAATTTTGAAACCATAATATATAAGTATATCTTTATATAAATATATTTTGCAAAAACCAAATTTCAAACATATTTGAAATCCACAACCGACAGTTTAGGTTTCCCTCAGAGATAGTGCATTTCCCCAATCATTCACTTTGCCCGACAAACGGATTGATCATGTCACTATGATCACCCACTCAGATCAATTCTCGAACTGTCCCAACATACCCAGGTTTTGACCCCCTCTAAGGATCTCACTGATTGGCATATCAAAGATAGCCCAATCCGACACCTAGCGTAGTATCATAATCGAGTCTAGCGGTCAGGTGTAACATTCCAGTTTTGCCCATCTATCTCTAAGGTCCAGGGCAATACTAGAATTTGGTCTAGTTCAGGGTTTCGAGAAAAACCCACACAGCATGTACCTCAAGTCTCACCCTATCAGGTGAAACAAGCACCCAACCAACTTGGCGGCACATCAGTGTCAGCATTGGCAGAATAAATCTCCCCAAATCTATCCAACGACTATAAAGATTCTAAACTAACACGAGTCTCATATGTGTCTAGTTTAAGGGTATTACACAAAAACACATCACAATAACATTAATCAAATATGTACTTTATTCATTTACAATAAATGTCATAATGTACATCATGTTGATTGGAGCTAAGGGCAATCAAATATGTACTTTGTGTGTCAGGGGCTTATTCAATGGGTCTGCCACATTCTCCGCTATTGCTACCTTTTACCATCAATCTCTCGTAAATTCAGTGTTGTCACACAACAGTGGAATGGGTGATGTGTTGAATTCCAAGTTCTAGAATGAACACCTTCATTCATTAGGCAACCTCAATTACGGCAATGTGCTCGGTTTGGGTTGTGGAATCTGCTATGGACCCTTGTTTGCTGCTTTTCTAGCTAACAGCACACAATCTTATCGTGAAAATATATTTAAATGTAAACTTTCTATCATCTGGGTCTGACTGAAAATCGGCATCAGTATACCCATGGATCTGTAGTGAACTACCATCAAATACCAGACAAAACTCTTTTGTCCTTCGAAAATATTTTAGTATGTTTTTCGCAGCGGTCCAATGCTCTTGCCCTGTGTTATATTGGTATCTACTTACCGCACTCACTGCCTGAGCAATGTCAGGACAAGTGCATAGCATGGCATACATGATGCTCCCTACAGCTGAGGCATAGGGAACTTCCGCCATGCCCTCAATCTCCTCAGGTGTCTTGGGAGACATTCCGCGGAGTTATTCATCTTCGTGCTTCATCCGATGTTGCTAAAGGAAGCCATGAGCGTTGAGTTTTTGGAGAGTAAGAAGATGTGAAAGTTTAGAGAAATACCTTTCGAAACGATTCCCACAGACGGCGCCAAATGATGCGGTGCGATCCGGTCACTCCTAGCTGGCACTCACGTGGCTCCTGGAAGGTACCTGAGATGAGAAGAAGAAGAATCCCTGGGGAGTTTTCTCGGTGGGGATACTCCAATGCTTAAGTTAGTACTATGAAGGAGAAGCAAGAAGGAGACGAAGCTAAGAGTGCAGATAGCGCGTTCTCACTATACTCGAGAGATTAGAGGTCTCAAGAAGAAGTTTATCTTTTGTCCTGAGGGCTTTTATAGGGACACTCACATCAGGTCGGGCATAACCGCCACTGGGCTCCTGCCACAGCCATTACCTGCCAGGGCTGCGAAAGTGGCCATTGTGGCGTACGTCTCGCCCGGGTGAGTGACACGTTTCTAGAGTGGCAGGCACGCCTCTATTTGCTGAGAGACGTGGACGCAGACTGCCGAAAGGACTGGGATTGCGCCGTCAGTAAGGGATATGACGCAGTCTGACCGGCACGGTCTGTCAGTCAGAAGCTTCCTAGATGGCGCTCGTACGGCTTATTCGTGAGCTGTTTTTGTAGTGAGCTTGGAACACTCCAGGATTACCCTTAGTGGAATTGGTCCTCAGAATGGCTTGTCTGCTTGGGAGCTCGGACGAGCTAAGGTTGCCTCGGAGTATCTCTTCAAAGGTAGCTCGGGGAGCCTGGGGTTCGCGTGGTGGCGAAATCCATTCGTGAGCTACAACGTAGCCAGCTGCTTGGAAAGCCCATCACTTGGTCGTACCGGGTTACAACGCTAAGCTATCACTCATGCTGATTCAGTGTTCATGTGTCACCGTTTCATAGATGGGGTCAAATCACCCTCCATCAATTGCCCCCCACTCCTTGGGCTAAGAGCACTGCCTTAGCGCAGGGAGTTTGTGAAGCGCGACGAGCTGATTTGATCGAAATTCAAACTTGATTGACTGCCCACATTAATGCATGTGCGGGAATCAAGAGATTTTCTGACTTTCCTGACTTTTCGGATTCTGAAAATGTGCTGAAGTGGCTTTTACCTTCGAACGTCGTGCGGCCGCGATTACCTTAATTATGGAAGACGTGTCGCCAATCACCTTTGGTTTTGGTTAGGGCACCCACGGGCCGTTGGATCTGCTTTGATCCGGGCTGTCAATTTGAAAGGGTGGAGACTATAAATAGGGGGCCTCCCAGGCCTCATTTTCTCCCATGCCATCTTGCTGTCTTCGGATTCTGAGGTCGCGCA